TTCATTTTAAGGATAATCCGTTCTCATTGGTTCATGATTACATCATAGGCTAAACTATACCATACATGGAATTCGGGGAATACCCCACCGAAACCGTGTCTGAGAACAATGAATTAAAATGCTAACGAAGTCCCAATAATCGTGAACTGCTTTGTTTAGTAACTACAACATTGGCTTCGCGGCATAAGCGTAATGCGAAAAAAAAAATGAGCTACTGGAAATGACATAATTTGAATGATGCCATTCTAGTACGGCTCGTTAACACCATGGTGAGTTTTTAGTTAGAAAACTGGTGAGGTTTTGTTGCGACAGTGTTGCGTTCCTATGCTGTACGCCATTGCAGTTAGAAGCCATTCATGCATGAAAACTGATGTAAAAAGTTAGTGTCGCTGAGACGACTATATTGAACTATGTCGTCCAGCTTTAAGCCGTTTACTGTGAAAATAAGCTTAGAAGAATTGTTACGAGAAAACTACGTAGTTTGTTGGATAAAGGGTAATTTTAAGGTCTGCGCTATGCAATTTGTTTCCCTCATCACAAATCAAGGTAAAATAAATTTAGCCTGACAAGATTAAAAACAAACATGAGAAGATTTATCTCTGTGTGTTTTCCAAAACTCAAACGAGCTGTTTTCATGGAAGGATCAGTACGCGACTGAATAGGGAAATAACCAGACGAACCCTTTGGTAACGGTGAGAAAACACGATTGAACCCGGCTTAAACGTTTTCTTGTAAGTCTTTTAAACTCTTTCCATGCTGGCTTAAATTGCAGGAGTTAAAGGGGGGGCGAGTGGGAGAGGGAACTCAAATCAATGTTTTTCTGGGCGAACATGCATATCTTGATAAAGAAAGTGTCCAAGCATGTCCTGACTCAGGTGCTGGTCACGCGATGTAGAGGAAGTCACGCGATGAGTGCGATTCCCAGGCACAAAATTCCAGTACAATAGGTCCTAATACATCCTAGATGAAGACAAAATTCATAAAATATATCCAACTAGACCATCGAAAACTCAATCTCAATCATACGATTAAGTTAGGATTAAGTTCAATTAATCAAACGTTTGATTTCGTTCAAGTGTTTAAATTACCCCGGGTTATTTCCTTTTAATTTCAATAACAAGTTGAAAGTTTTTAAAAAATACTTTCACTCTTTTTTTATGTTTTATGTCAGGAGTCAAAGGACGAGGAAACAGGTACGTTTGACAAGTTAAAACGTTCTTTGGATAATAATAATTTTGCTTTTATCAGAAAACGATAAACATAACAGCGCCAATTTTGAAACAATTCAGAATTATTCATGCCAGCTGGCCGGCTGGTGTGCATTGGAAAAATACCTTGATGACGTAAATTAGCATATTAGTAACAATAAAATTATGAGTTTCCATTAAAACAAGCCTACCAATAAAGTACTAAATATATTTGAATTAGAGAAATCCTTCAGAAAGTAGTTTCAAAGATCTTGAACAAGTGCTGAAATAAAACGTTAAAATTCTCTTAGTAACGTTGTGCAAGTGTCTCAAATTTGTTTCGTACGCGGTAATCTCTTTTTCAAAAATCAAAGGTGGTGCCAATCTAGTGTGTCCTTCATAGTCTTCATACCCAGGCCCAGGTTGTTCAAACGTTGGATAGCGCTATCCACCGGATAAATCACTATCCAACGGATAAGTATTACGGAAATCAATTACGCTATCCGCTGGATAGTGATTTATCCGGTGGATAGCGCTATCCGACGTTTGAACAACCGGGGCCAGCTAAATATTGGTTGTAATGAATAAGGCTATTAGTGTTTGTCAGAACCTAACTATTACTTGCTTCACATTGGTTATGCATAGTGCTGAGGCGTCCAAAGCAAGGGCGGAGTTATGGGTGGGCCGAAGGGGCCCCAGCCACCTCTTTCTGGATTTTCTGGATCCGCCCCTGCAAACCGTGCAGTGTTCTTATGTAATTCAATTATTCTCTGTTCTCAATTAAGCTTTACTTTGAATTATCCTAGGTGATCATGAGTATCAAAGGGCTTTTGCTGCCCTTGATGAGCTCAATCTTGCCTCGTTAAAGCCATTCTTTAAGGATAACTATTTACAGGTAATAAAACAAGAAGCGATTTTGTGTAAAACGTAATGATATCGGAATCAGCTTCTGCTTAATTATAATTTGTGTTAGTGATGGATGATCTGGCAAAAAGAAGAAGACATATAGTAACATTAGTAAAGAACATAATACTACAGTTAGTAATTAAGTCCAGAATGGAAAGAGTGTCCATCGGAAGCTTGTTTTATAATATGCCGTTTTTTTTTATTTTTTAGTATTATCACTGCCTAACTTGCAATTTTTAAATTGATTCTTAAGAGTGTCACACAGAAAGGATGACGAAACGCTTGAACTATAATAGAACAGCCCTGAAAGAACTTTAACGAAAAAACCTTACAGTTTGCAAACAAATCAGCATGTCCATGTCAATCAAAACTAACTGGAATGTTTCTTGGTAGGATTACACGTTATC